TTAAAAAGGAAAATAGTAATGCCATCCGACCCCTCTCTATCACCACGGTCGAGGCTTACGGGTTCGATTTGGGAAGGAAACCCAGCTTCATCCAAACTGATGATGTCGTTTATTGCTGCATGCCGAGGAAAGCGGCCGGCACTACGACGACAGAAGAGAGGATGCAAACCAAACTCATCAATGGAAGCTCCACATCTGCATCTGTGACGCTCACATAATTTGAGTCCAAGACGGATCGCGACTCCGACCCGAGTACACTCATCATCTAGAAAGGTACCGGTAGATGAAGTGGGCACTGCTTTGAGCCAGGCGTCACTACTCGGGTTGTGAAGCAGATAGTAGACAGGTGAGGCGATGAGACGATTTTGAAAAGTGCTGACCTCATTGTTTTGTCAACAATACTAACTCACCTGCAAGTTTCAAATTACAGAGAACCAATATGATTTACGAATTCACATGTTCCTTAAGGAACTGTGTCCCTGATGAATCCAAATTCATAAATAATTATATTGGATATACTACAATATATTTTCAAAATTTCTTACAGTTAACAATAATACATTTCTAAAAAAAACATATTTCGATTCACATCTAATCTTTTTCGTGTCCCGTTATAACCTGGATGTATTAAAAAAACAAATCAATTTCCATGCCTGATGATGACTGTGTGAACAGATGAAAGTACCAGCAAAAAAAAAGACCTTATACAAGTTGAATTTATTAAAAACAGGAATCATAACATTCATCTAGAAGTTCGTGGTTAATGTAATTTTAATAAATTTGTTTGCGAATGTATTCTCGCCATTTGTATCATTAACTTCACTAATCTGTTTTTTGTGTGAATGATTCATGTAATATATATATATATATATATATATATATATATATATATATATATATATATATATATATAAAAAAGAGAGAAATCGCAAACGTTTTTTGTTGGAATGCGGATTTTAAAAAAAATATATTATGCTTTATTTTTCATAATTTTGCTACACGGGTTTCCGGTCTCGTAACCTTCATCAGACAAAGCGTGGAGATTTCCACATATTATTAAAAATAATTAATTTTTTCTAATGTTTTTCGATATTAAATATTCTCGATATGAGACATTCTATTTTTTGTGTGTTAGTGACCCAAATGACTTCCTGGATGGGCAGTGATAAAGTTCTGGGTGAAGGGTTATAAAATAATCAAGACTGGTCCGAGAAATTGTGAAGGAATTGTCGGCATTCTTATCTTTTAATGACCCCTGTATATTCTTAGATCTATTTTCGTTTTTTTTTTTTTTTGTGTGTGTGTGTGTGTTTTTGTCAGCATGCTTATGTATACGTATATTCCTTCTCCATATATACACACCGTCTTATCATGAGGAATTAGTAAACACATTTGTACACATACACACATATACACATAGTACTATAAAATTGGAAAAAATGTACAACACACAAATGTATATAACGAGGCTTAACTCGTTTCGACAATGTTGTTCGATAACTGAGGCATTTTTGTCTCGAATTTTCTGTTCGAAAACCGATTTGTTCGATATGTGAGACGTTCGAGAACCGAGGTTACACTGTGTATATATAACTATGATTGCACAGGAGCGCACAATGCTATTTGTTGGACCTACTCCCTATTGCTCTCTCTCTCTCTCTCTCTCTCTCTCTCTCTCTCTCTCTCTCTATCTCTCTCTCTGTTTATCTATATGTCTCTCTATTTCTCACTTGTCTTAATGTATGCTCATTTGGTTTTTAGAAATACAAAATATATTCATATGCATAAAACAATGTTTGTACTAGCACACACAGACTCAGTCCCTCTCTCTATCTCTGTCTCTGTCTCTCTCTTTGTCTCTCTGTCTGTCTATCTATCTATCTATCCATATATCTATTAATTTATCTCATTATTTCTTTCTTCTGCTACTATATACACACTTGTTTTTTAGAAAAGAAAATATGTATGTTTGTAAGATGTATAGTAGTATCCGAAACAAACATGGCGATAATGAGACAAAGCGGAAAAGATTCTAGATGACGCGTTTCGCCAACTTCTGGATTCGGCTTCTTCAGGTCGCAAAAAAATAAAACTGCGTGTAAAGACAGTGCGTTGAGAATTTTTAGGATAAGAAGGACAATATATTAAACTACCTTATCAGACCCGACGACCAGTAAACAAAGCAATGCTTTTTCTTCTTGCTATCGCTCCTAAACCCTGTTCTGTCAACCATTTACACAAGCTCGTTAGTAGGTTATACCCAGCTTTCCTCTGTCCCTCGCGCCTTCAATATGTCCTGTGGATGTCAGATATTCTAAACCCTCTTTCCTCATTATGTACCCTGGAAAGACACTAATGATTAAAGCATCTTAACCTAAAACAATCTTAACCTCTTAATAAAATAAATGTGTATAATGATGTTACGTAGTTTGTTCGAAACATTAGCCCGCCAAGGTACATACAACAATGATTGTGCAGACACTCTATTTGTCTGCATCTCTCTCTCTCTCTCACACACACACACTCACTCACTTTATATATATATATATATATATATATATATATAAATGATCTAAATAAAGAGATATGATCACCATATATGTGAGTGATTGCATACACATACAGTTGAGCAAATAAGGTGTGAAGTGCGAGAAAAGAAACGATAAGAATAGTTATATCTAGATTTTTCAAGATTAAAACGATGAATGTTGTAGCAAATCTAGTAGTACGCTTAAAGACATTCTGTTAAGGTATCAAGAAAGAGAGCTCATTAGAACGGCTTTTTTGAAAATATTTATAAAAGGGATTAAGAGAAGCTGCGTCACGCCGGTAGGAAAGTGATTAGGTCAGGAAACTTCTTTCAATCTTGTCGAGGATTTCAAGATTTATAACGGGAGCGCCCAGACCAGATATGGCTTCAATATTCAATGCTCGGACTGACGGTAGATTTGCAAATGTGCAAGATGGATTCTGACAAGGAGAAAAATCGTCTAGAACGACACAGTGAACAAATTCTCCGAGCTGCAGATCTAGCAATTGATTCAATATAATCACACACCCCCACTTCATGCCATTAGCAAAAAGTGGGACAAAGACGGCGTAATGAGTTGCGGTTGGAGAGGCAAAAATGGCCCTCTGTGGTGATTAAAGGAATGCAGTTTTATTTAATCTATAAATTTTACATTTAATTCTCCACATGAAATAATTATAAATCGCACGTAATAAAAACGCATGCTAATATTGTACACAAAATACATTCAATGTATAGTTAAAAGTGTAAAATGCTTAAAAGATATAGTTACAATTTTTTTACTATATCTAATATTTGGTAAAAGAGCTATGACTATGTTTTTTTGTATTTTACATTTTAAGTCTACACTGCTTAACTCGTTTTCTACAGCTTATCAACTCTTTAGAGGTTATTTAAAGCCAGAAAATATTTTTCTTAGATTGTAACAGTTTTTGGTGGATAATAATGATTTACTGATACAAATCCTACTAATTAAACCATAGCTGGAAGGAGAAGTAATGAAGTCATATCTTTCCCAAGAATATAAGGGACTTAACGAGAACTGGAACTGGGCTCTCCGATTATCAAATCCACTACCCCACCCGAACGTCCAAGCTTCCAGCATCTGATATTCCCAAGTGGTCATCCATCGAGGTACTAAGTTTACTATACACAGAATACACATTACATGCATATTAACATGCGTTTTTATTATGTGAAATTTATAATTATATAAAAATAAAAATCATTATTCACATTTCTTCTCCCCACTCTTCACTTACGCACAAATACCCTTGTGAAACATATGAATCCGTCTCCTCCCACTAGCTATGGGTTAAATATTGGGTCTTGTATGTGGAAAAAAAAATCATTGTTATTCTCAGAAAGATGCTTAATGCAATATTCACTCACAAAATAAATTTTAATATTCCACAATGTGTTTCGACAAAGTGTTGACAAACCGTAAAAAACAAATCAGCAACAATATATATATCGTTCACTTTTTCATTCTCAATTTCGTTCTAGATTAATATTGTTTTAAGTTTAATCAGCTGGCAAGTAATCTTCCTTTTAGTAGTGGGGACGTTGAAATATAACACGAACTTCTGTCATTGTGATTTTGACGACTCAGCTTATCCTGAATATAGGCGCGAGATTGAAGGGAAATTCAAACTATGGATGAGATCTCATTATTTCAAATCGTCTGACGACTTATTGCGCATACGGGAAGTTAAAGCTGCAGGTTCTAAGTGAAATCATTGTCTCCTAATCTTGCCTTCTTAAAGATATGCTTCCTGTTTCCACTGGACATTGTGACAAGCTGGTAATTTCTTATGCGTTTCTGGGATTAACGCCACTAATCTACATAAATACTTAAATCTCGTTACCAGATTGTGTGCTTTGCCCTTCATTCGATCGATAACTTGGAATTAAGCTCAGCCATTGACATTTTAAAACACAGCTGACCCGGATAAAAATATTCTATCGAGAAATGATATTCAATTTGCACGATACCCAAGTGTGGTTCTGTTTCTCTGGAAAATGACTTTTGCTCTTTCTATGTGCTTAACAAATCAAGTAGCATTAAATCATCACAAGGCACAACTGCAAGTGATTGTTCGCATCTATACGTCGGTCTTCAGATTACACTTCAGTCAGAGACACGCACACCTAGGATGGCAGGTATCTCAGCGGGAAAGTTGTCATTGATGGAATTTACTCGTTCGTATTGTTATTTTGTTGTTTTATTTTTTATTTTTTGGTTTACACTTTTTTTTTTATTTATCAAAGCTCCAGGTGAATGTCTTCGGTCTTTTGTTCTTCATAGTGACACTTCAAATGAATTTTTCATGTTGAAATATGGACATTGAAGGCGCGTTAAGAGATTTAAAATATGACAATGTCAGTCTTTCACAAAGTTTAACTCAAGCCTGTCATATGAATGGCAGTTCAGTTTATTTTTAATAAGTACATACGCATCCTCACACACTCACACACACACACAGATAGATAGATAGATAGATAGATAGATAGATAGATAGATAGATAGATAGATAGAAATAACAAAAAGTTCTAGGCTTGGCTGACTTCATAAAATCAATACTCCGATGTTTGGCCATTGCAATAATGGTTTTCAAAATGTTCAGCCTCGGCTTGTACATATATATATATATATATATATATATATATATATATATATATATATATATATATATATATATATGAGAATAAATATACACTTAAGGTGTGCTATATTTATGGGACAAAGTGCTCAATATCAGAGATAGACCGTGTGTAAATACAAAAGTGAACATTGGTTTTTTTTTTTTTTTTGTAAAAAACAACACTCGTGGCCTGACGATTGCATCTAGCATGGTTGACTTCAATGCTCACTTTAATATATATATATATATATATATATATATATATATATATATATATATATATATATATAATTGTATTTTTTTGAAGATTGACCTTTATATATATATAATTGTGTAAAATTTGTTATATTTATTGAGGAACCATACTCAATAGCTAGATTAGAGTGTCTGTATCTATGAATGGCTGGCATTCAAAGTGCTGTAGAATATTTTGGTGTTATCTACTAGTATTTGTCGTATGTTAATAGTTTACTTTGGTCGTTCATGATGTGCTAGTCGAGGTGTTCACGGTTTGCACTAAATCTGGACAGGTGACAGGTCAATCTGTGAGAGTGTGTGGTGCATGCGTGACCAATGTAAGTATTTAATGTCCTTTTTTTATTATTAGTTTTGGAGATGCAATCGCCCAGATGGAATGAGGATTCGTACGCAACATTATCTTAACACAGGTTAGGGATTTTAATGGCTGTTACTTTTAGTAATAATTAAGTTAAGTGTTTTAAATTTATTGTAGCAGATGATAATTCTTAGGTGTTTATGAGGTTCCCTGAGTGATATGTACCGGTTAATTATGCTTTAAATCCTGTTTATAATTGGGGTGCATTTGATTACAATAGAATAGGTTAACTTGTGTTTATTTTTATTTTAGCATCATTTTTCTAGATTTTGTTAAGGCTAATTTTATTTTTTCGTCGGCATTTTGGTTAGAAGAATTATTGTTGATTAGGATTTGTTTAATGTTGGTGTAGTATGATCCAACTCCCCCCTTAATGGATCTGTCCTGAACACATATATTCAAGAGCAATCTGCTGATTTGCAAAGTACAACAAATCTCAAAAGCTCAGAGACTATGATCAAATTGTAGTATCTGTTCCGTGGCCTTGACCAGCTATGCCCTGCTAAGATAAGCTTTGTGCCAGATCCCGAAAAGAAAAATTAATGAAATGAAAAATAAATAAGCAAAAACAAGTAAAATAAATTAACCCAAAATAAATAAATAAAGTAAAAAATAAACAAATTAAGAAAGCACTCCCGACAAAATAACCATCAGAATAGACTACAACAATCAATCCAAAAACTGAAAAATCTGATTAGACGAAAACAAATAGCTATAAAAGTACCTTCCCAGACCAAAACAAACTAATAAAAAAAAAAACTTTTACTGCTTTACTTAAAAATCGAAAACCAAAAAATATATAAAATAAAATAAATAAGAAAAACGAAATAAAATAAATTAATCCAAATAAATAAAAAAATAAAAACAAACCACTCCCGCCAAAATAACCGTTAGAATAGACTATCCACAATGCACCACTGTGCCGTATATATAAATAGTCGACACAACACAACACATGTGGCTTGATGATTGCGTTTAGCATGAAACAGTCTGTCGCCTTAAATGTTGACTACAATGTTCACTTTTATATTTATATATATATATATATATATGTGTGTGTGTGTGCGTGCGTGTGTGTAGAGAGAGAGAGAAATTATTTATTTTGCATAGCAAAAAGATATGGTGGCTCATATTTTTACTCGCTGTCTATTCTGTCGTCTTTCACATAAAAAAAAAGTTACACAAAGTCGTATATCTTTCTGCTTTTACATATATTCTTCCAATAGTATTTTTTGAAGATTGACCTTTAATGTGTCGACTCCAGATAGTCACCACTTTTAAAATTGCTACCTCGAAAAAGTCAACGGTCATATCCGTGTCTAGAGACTCTCATGTTGTTTGCTGGGCACGCAAATAGAAGTACGATGTAAAAACAATAAAATCTGATCAATTCAGGCCAAAGTGGACCTTGCAGCAGAATTTCAAACTAAATGCAATGGCTTCCACAGATGGCTTTACCGAGTGTCCACAAATTCTTTCACGAGATGTTTTTTCTCTTGCTATTAATTAAAGGCTTCCATTACAGACATATCCGAGTATATAAAATCCTGCGAAATACACACATAGGAACTTTCACACAAAGGCACACACATATTTACAGATAGATAGATAGATAGATATGAACAGAATGAGATAGATAGATAGATAGATAGATAGATAGATAGATAGATAGAAATGAGAAAATTTGATCTGCAGACAAACACATATTTACATGCATAATGGCTTGTTACTCTCCTTTTTCGATCACACCTGTCTGCTAGGGCGGTTAGCCATTACCTGTCAAAGACACTTGCTCAGTTACATGATTGTTTGGTCAACACCCACCGAACCTACCTTTGGTTTATGCTGAGCCGGGATGAGTTACACATTCTGAGATAGTGCCTAATCTGACATGATCAGCAGTTTGAATATCAGTACGCTGAAACTCTCGGTCACGATGAGTTGTGATTTCGTGTTAACAAAACCATCGACGGCTTTTGGAAGGTTCTTTCTACACAGTTTGACTCACACACCTTGGGTCAACACGTGGCATCATTTTCAGGCACTTACAAAAAAGGCTGTCTGCTGGGATCGCCTCCCCAAACCGATAGAATCAAGATGGCCACATTCTGACAAATCGACCTCGGTGAAATTGATTGGAACACGGTCCTTATAATCGGAAAGAGACCGCTCTATATACATACATATGCATGATAGATGCATGCAAAATCAAAACTCATAAATGTTAGTATAGATACATCAAAAACATAAACATAAATATATTATATATTAAATATACATGCATGTGAAGAGACTGAGATAGATAGATACATACATAAACATACATACATACATATACATAAAATATAATTAAAAAGTGACAAATGACGGATAGATATATATATATATATATATATATATATATATATATGCATACATAAATAGATAAGAGATAAAGATAGATAGATATAGATAGATAGATAGATAGATAGATGAATAGATAATACATGCATAAAGAGACTGAGATAGATACATACATACATACATACATACATACATAAATAAATACATAAGAAGAGAGACTGAAATAGATAGATTCATATAGATAGATACATAATTAATGAATAGATGAATAGATACAAATACATACGGATATATATATATAAAAAGTATATATATATATATATATATATATATATATATATATATATATATATATATATATATATATAAATACATACATAATACACGGAAAGATAGATATAGATAAATACATACATACATACATACATACATACATACATAAAAAAGACTGAGATAGATAATAGATAGATAGATAGATAGATAGATAGATAGATAGATATATGTATGATACATAAATAAATACATAAGAAGAGACTAAATAGATAGATAGATAGATAGATAGATAGATAGATAGATAGATAGATAGATAGATAGATAGATAGATAGAAATGAGAAAATTTGATCTGCAGACAAACATATATTTACATGCATAATGGCTTGTTACTCTCCTTTTTAGATCACACCTGTCTGCTAGGGCGGTTAGCCATTACCTGTCAAACACTTGCTCACTTGAGATAGATTTGGTTTATGATAGCCAGGATGAGTATATATAGATACATAATTAAAAGTGACAAATGACGGATACATATATATATATATATATATATATATATATATATATATATATATATATATGCATACATAAATACATACATAAGAGAGAAAAGAGACATAGATAGATAGATAGATAGATAGATAGATGAATAGATGAGATAGATGATAGATACATACATACATAATTAAAAGAGACTGAGATAGATAGATAGATAGATAGATATATAGATAGATAGATAGATAGATATGATGAATATACATACATACATATATGTATGCATACATAAATAAATACATAGATTAGAAAGATAGATAAATGTCGATGATATGGATAGATAGATAGATAGATAGATAGATAGATTGATACATAATTAAAAGTGACAAATGTCGGATGAATGATATATAGATTGATATATATATATATATATATATATATATATATATATATATACATAAATACATACATAAGAGACGGAAAGATAGATAGATAGATAAATAGATACATACATACATACATACATACATACATAAAGAGACTGAGATAGATAGATAGATAGATAGATAGATAGATAGATAGATAGATAGATAATGATAGATGTATATGCATACATAAATAAATACATAAGAAGAGACTGAAATAGATAGATAGATAGATAGATAGATAGATAGATAGATAGATAGATAGATAGATATTGATGTATGCATACATAAATAAATACATAAGAAGAGACTGAAATAGATAGATAGATAGATAGATAGATAGATAAATAGATAGATAGATAGATAGATAGATGCTTACATACATACAGTCAACGACGAAATTATTCGTACACCCATTAATTTTGAATATTTTTGTCCATTTCTCAGAGTCTGATTCACATATGATGCCAGATTTGTTTAATGTTAATAAGCAACAAAAAAGGGAACATAAAACTCCATTTTCAGAACAATAGGTTAAATACAACAAATTTGACAGGTGAATTATGCAAAACAGGAAAAGAGAAAATTATTCGTACAGTATGAAAAATAAGAAATAATTGAACAATTTTCACAATATTAATAGTTAATAGCACAGCCTTTCATCTTTATAACTTGCTGCAATTAATTTCTATAGTTTTCGATGAGATTTAAACAAAACTTTTCTGGGGTTTGCTTCCATTTTTCTATGATTACACGTTCTAATTCCTGAAGGTTTTTGGGTGACCGATGACTTATTCGAACTTTCAAATCTTGCCATAGATTTTCAATAGAATTCAAGACAGAACTCATTGAAGACCAATACAGAACTGTAATCTTGTTTTTCTGAACTCCCATAGTCACAGATTTAAACGTATGTTAGTGATCATTATCTTACTGGAAAGTAAATCGCCAAAGATGAAGATTTTGCGCTGATAGTTGTAGATTTTCATCCTGAATTTCTGATATAGTCTGCAGATTTAATTATTCTTCTTATTGCAATTAATTGTCCAGCCCTGCTTAAACTAAAACAATCCTAAAATATTATCGAGCTGCCTCCATCTTTTAACGTTACCACTGTGTTCTTGGGGTGGGGGGTGCCTTACCTTTCGTGCACCAAATCTTCTGTACATCATTATGTCCATTTTTTTTCTTTCATCACTCCATGGTACTTGTTCCCAAAAGCAATTTTATCTGTCCAAGAACGTTTTGACAAAACTAAAGCGAACAACAATGTGACATGGTTTATGAAGATGGATTCGTCATGGTCGGTTTACACGTAACCTTATTTCTATTTAAAAAACCTTGTATTGTACGAGTACTTACGCTGATAGCCATCATATCCAAACTTTTGGCGATGTCTTTCAAAACAACTCTTGGGTTTACATTAACCTCGAGACACAGTTTTCTTGCAGTTTTCGGTGACATTTGCGATTTTCTTCCACGCCCAGGCAAATTCTCTGTCGTGCCAAACTGTTTAAACGGATTTATAACGGATTGTAACGTAGATCTCCGGATACTTAATCGGTTTGAAAAATGTGTTTTCCGACTTGCGGAAGATAATAATTCCCTGTCTCAAGTCAGCGCTAAGCTCCTTTGTTTTCCCCATCGTGTTGTTAAGGTAAAAATAACAATGGTGATACTCTATGCATCACGTGATGTTGATTGCTGAAATTATCACAAATATTCTACTGAGTAAATTTTCTAGAAGTCTCCACCGATAAAATAATTATGTAAATTACTTATACTTACACGGATCAATCAATTTAAAACGATATTTTCTACTGTACAAATAATTTTGTCTTTTCCTATTTTGCATAAATCGACTGTCTATTGTACTGAACATTGAGTTTTATATTCCTTTTTCTGTGCTTCTTCACACTAACATAGATAGATATTTACATGCATACGTTCCTATATAGATACATACATAATTACAAGTGACAAATGTGGAATTGTAGATACATACATACATAGTGGCTGTCGAATCACAAAGCGAGTATGACCAACACTGACCATCAGTTAAACACCTCCCCGACAAAAACGCTGAATTAATTTGATGTTTGGATGACAGTGTCTCATACAGCCAGCCAACGATCTGCATTCCTTGTTACATATATGGCATGTGGGTGGTGGAAGACGATTTTGAACATCATCACATCCAATGTGTATTGTTAGATGCCTTGTCAGGACAGACCTGGACTTGACATGCATACATACATACATACATATATGCATACATACATATGCATAGAGACTGAGATAGATAGATAGATAGGTAGATAGATAGATAGATAGATACGTTCATACATAGATACTTACATAACTGAAAGTGATAAATACATGCATACATATATATATACATATGAAGAAACTGAGATAGATAGATAAATTTGAAGTGACTGAGATCGCTACACATACACACACAGAGACACACACACAGACACATACACACACACACACACACACACACACATATATATATATATATATATACAAACACACACATATATACCTACATACGTGCATACATTTGAAGAGATTGAAATAGATAGATAGATGAGATAAATTTGATACTGAGATAGATAGATACACACACAGACACACACACATATATATATATATAAATTATATACCTACATACGTGCATACATTTGAAGATTGAAATAGATAGATATATAGATATATATATATATATATATTTGATATATATATATATATATATATATATATATATATATATATACATATGAAGATGAAGAGATTGATAGATAGATAAATATATATATATACATACCAACATACGTACATACATATGAATATAGATAGATTTTATGTAACTGAGATCGATGCACACAGATACACACAGACACACACACATACACACACACACACGGATATATATATATATATATATATATATATATATACAAACACACACATATATACCTACATACGTGCATACATTTGAAGAGATTGAGATAGATAGATAGATAGATAGATAGATAGATAGATAGATAGATAAATTTGAAGTGACTGAGATCGCTACACATATATATATATATATATATATATATATATATATATATATATACGTGCATACATATGAAGAGATTGATAGATAGATAAATATATATATATACATACCAACATACGTACATACATATGAATATAGATAGATTTTAAGTAACTGAGATCGATGCACAGATACACACACACACACATACACACACACACACACACGGATATATATATATATATATATATATATATATATATACAAACACACACATATATACCTACATACGTGCATACATTTGAAGAGATTGAGATAGATAGATAGATAGATAGATAGATAGATAGATAGATAGATAAATTTGAAGTGACTGAGATCGCTACACATACATATTTATATATATATATATATATATATATATATATATATATATATATATATATATACGTGCATACATATGAAGAAATTGATAGATAGATAACTATATATATATACATACCAACATACGTACATACATATGAATATAGATAGATTTTAAGTAACTGAGATCGATGCACACAGATACACACACACACACACACACACACATATATATATATATATATATATATATATATATATATATATATAAAAACACACACATATATACCTACATACGTGCATACATTTGAAGAGATTGAGATAGATAGATAGATAGATAGATAGATAGATAGATAGATAGATTTAGATGATAGATAGATAGCTAAATTTGAAGTGACTGAGATCATACATATATATATATATATATATATATATATATATATATATGAAGAGATTATGAAGAAATTGATAATATAACTATATATATACATACCAACATACGTACATACATATGAATATAGATAGATTTTAAGTAACTGAGATCGATGCACACAGATACACACAGACACACACACATACACACACACACACGGATATATATATATATATACAAACACACACATATATACCTACATACGTGCATACATTTGAAGAGATTGAGATAGATAGATAGATAGATAGATAGATAGATAGATAGATAGATAGATAGATAGATAGATAGATAGATAGATAGCAAATTTAACTACTTCTGGTATCAGGTTTTGTGACACCTGACAGTTTTCTCTCATTTTATTAATTAGTATTTTTCAAGCTCATTATAACATTAAGGCGGTTTTGCTTTTTTTGTCTTCTTTTAGTGGTTTTCTCATTTTTAACTCTAATTCCCTGGCGATTTAAATTTGAATCACTTTTTATAAATTCCTCGCCTCCAAATAGTCGCCGTCCAAAGTGCACCACAACGGCCATTCTCATCAGGTTCTTCCTTTAACCCTCCAATTTCACCTTTTGCTATAACCCAACTTTCACGTGACGAGACTTCCATAGCTAAACATTTGTTTGCTGTCCCTCATAGCCGGCACTTGACCAACCATGACTCTACATACAAATATGCCTTTTATACTGGAATACAGCCTCCTTTTGCAACAGAATCATATAATTCTTTTGAAAAGTCAGAAGCAATCGAAGAAAGAGTCAACTCTGAAAGTCTGTGTCCATGTTTTGGAACCCGATGGCGCCTCTTGGAGTCGGCGAATGCTAGGAAAAGCCACGGGCGAAGCGTAAAATATAAAAGCTGTTCCTCCGGCTAATTCTTTCGCTGACATTGTTCCGCATCGATGATTTTCTGCAAAGTCATTAAAGAATGGCTCCAAACCAAGAACTTTGTTGCTGTGCCAGAGTATTCAAGAATTTGGCGACATAGAATTTCATGCATATTTCGCAAGGGACCTGCTTTTGTCAGCCGTTATAAGAGATGCTTGAGAGCGGAAATGATTTTATTACAGATTGAATAGGAGGCAACGTATTTCTGAACTCCTCACTAGTAGTTGTAGGAGGAGGAGATGGAGGGAGGAAGAGGAAGGGGAGTTTACTTAACCTACCGTTAGTTCTGTGAGCCATTGTCAAAATATTAGTTCCATGGGCTTTGCAAATACCTTGTTTAATATATTATAGATATATCATTTAGTCCTTAATTTTCTTTTTATATACAAGGAGCGGTAACGCACTTTTTTATTTATGAATTTTACTAAACAAAAATAAATTACAGTAATTTAAGAAAATTTAAAATTGCTATCCAATCAAAATAATATGCGCTGTTATGATTAACAATCTATTTAAAATGTTCAAAATGCTCCCCGTCATGCAATGCTGAACCCTACCAGCAAACATTCTACAAAATTGGTGCATTATTATCAGGCGTTTTTAAACAATATTTATTATAAAAAAAGAGACATAAAAATTCAAAAACATTTTTAAATAATTATCCCGGAGCGTATGGTTATCGACACGCATTTTTATAACCTGAAAGTAAAATAATATTTTTATTAAAGTAAACAAAACCGCAATTTTTATTAACAAATAACTCGCCTAAAAAACGCCTAATATTTATGCACCAACCCAATACATTAATTTTATAAAATGTCTCAGAAATTGATTGTTTTAATTCAAGATTTTTTTTTTCAGTTTGGTCTTGTAAACAATATCTTTCAGTACAACCTACAAGAAAAGGTCTGGTGGTTTTAGATATGGTGATCGTGATCCACGTCGTACTATCCACTTCAGCTCGAAATCAAGATTTAACCTCTCCCGAACGCGTAAGCCATAGTTAATCTTAAGCCATCTTAAATTATTGTAATTTATTTCTTTATGTTCAATAAAAGTTAATAAATAAAAATGGGGTTACTTTTGTCGCCCCCTGTATTGTATTAAGTTAGTTCTATCTTTATACGATGAATAACAAAGAAAGAGAAGCAAAGGTTTTATTTTGGAAACCAGAATCAAAAGGGAAATGTTTAAAAAAGGAAAATGTTTAAAAAAGGAATTTTGAGTCTCAAAAGTTCAAATATGCAAATATCGTTTTCATTCTATTTTCGTATGTTCTTTTAAAAAAGTTTTTTGGCCAATCGAACTCATTTTCAGCTATTTTATCACATTCCAAGCAATGGAAAAGAAGCTTAGTAAGATCGTTGCATACATTTCTACCACATTTAGTATAGACAGTCTTTACTTCATGCTCACGTGATAATAATTTGACTAAAACTTTAAACTCCTTGTTTAAACAGACATATTCAGGAAGCCGCTTAACTCATTATGAAAATTTTGACGCTTGACGGAAACGGAAAACACCCCACTGTAGTAATGAAGGCCCAATCAACTTCTTAGCCTAGGACAAGTCGGTTAGAAGTGTATGTTGTGCTCAAAGACGGGGATGTAGAGAAAAATTATGTTGGGTTTAGCAAATGTATATGTGTAGTTTTGGTAGTATCGACAGTCGTTACAGATAATTACCTAAACATTTATAATAAAAAAAAAGGTTATTCTTTGGTAGAACCGAATCATTTTCGCTTCAAGTCTCCTCCTTGAGTGTGAGGAGAATTTCCAGCATTCACTGTCATTTAGAACATTAGATATTACGTAGTAAAATGCCTACTTGTACGATTTCTTTAAATAGCTTAGGAATAACGAAAAAGGTGTGTATTGTTTGTATAGGTAGATTGGTTTGAAAAGATGCTAGATCTGTTGCTGGTTCACTTCATTGTGCTAGACAGTTTTCTCATCAGAATCTATCTTACATATTTATAAGTCTACCATTTTTTGATGCAATTAATATTGCTGTCACATCTGGTCTGGCACTTCTGCTATGCATTTAGAGATTACTGATGAAATCCAAAGAACCCTCTGCAATGTTATTAGTCCTGACCTGACATCTCGACTTCAGCAATAACGGAGCTTCGCTCTAACTTAACTATAAATATTATCATGATAATTGTTCTGGTGAGATTTTTTTTCTTTGGTACCGCGACTTTACGAATTGAAACGCAGTGCTAGATTGGCAGATAGGTCTCATCATTTTACAGTTGTGATGTTAAGATGTAACCATAACTTTTATGCTAACCATCTCTTGTGAAACTCTTTTTTAGCCTCTTGCACAATGTTTTAATCATTTTACACCAGGTAAGGTAATAAAGCCACCAAGAAGAGATCACTGAGTATGAGAGAATATAGGAAAAGGAAGACATTACTGAGAAAGAACAATAAAAGAACAAGAATTAAGAATGCATAAGATAACGATTGACATTACATTTAAATTTTTAACGTCAAAGTTGACTGGAAAGCAAGAAGCCGGAAGAGAGTTGTTGCACAAGCGAGAAATGAGATAGAAGAGACGGTTAGCATAGAACTTACGGTTGCAACTAGCCATTTCAGAAGTAAATTGATGAGATTTTGCCACCAATCTAATACTGAGCTTAAAGGTACCATAGAGGAAAATTAGAAAAATTATTATTTATAGAAAAGGCACAGCGAAGCTAAGTTACGGCGGCGGGAAAGGGACTGAAGCATGGTTGCTAGGTCAGGACCAATAACATTGCCGATTCTTCTTTGCATTTCATTAAGAATATCTAAATACACAGAAGAAACACCAGTCCATATGTGGCATCAATATTCAATTCATGGACGAATGGTGGACTTAAATGCATTAGATAATAATTTATAACATTTATAAATGGGACCATTCGCTTATGCATTGAATATTGTTGTCATATTTGGTCTGCTAGTTCTGCTATGTATTTAGATATTCTTGATAAATTACAAAGAATAATCTGCAATATTACTGGTCTTGATCTGGCACCTCGGTTTCAGTCACTTTCCCACCGCCGTAACGTAGCTTCTATAAGCCCTTTCTATAAATATTTTCTGTAATTCTTCTGATTAGTTTTCTTTTTGGTTACCGGGACTTTAGGCTTCATCATTTAACATTTGAAAGGACTAAAGATAACCGTAGGTTCTATGCTAATAGTTTCTTTTCTCGCACTTCTTGCTTTTCTCTGAATTCTTGCCTTTTAGTCAACTTTGGTCTTCATAAATTTAAATGCAACGTCAACCGGTTTTCTTAATTCTGTTTTTTGTTGTATCTCCTTAATAATGTCTTTTCTTTTTCTCATATTCTTCCATACTCAGTAAGCCTTTGCGTCTTAGTGGCCTTATTGCCTTGCATCGGATGATAATGATTAAAATAAATGCCTACGATAGAGCAGGTTTATAACCTTTTTTAGTATGCAAAAATGAATAACAGGCGAGAATATTTATGTGTTTGTTGACGATGATATAGAGTCAGTGAGCGTGTTATAGTCATATATCGTACATGTATTAATGGAATATTTGTTATGCAATAGGCTAACTTTGACACGACACAGTAAATGCTGATGGAAAAACGGTTCTCTACGATGATTAAAATATAGTAGCGACTGGGGGCATAACGGTTAATGATACCGAGAATGGAATCAGCCTGGAACAATGTACTTCGCTAAAATTCCTTGGAAGAGGCATGAACTCACTTTCCCTTTTCCAGCTACCTGTAAACCTCCTATTAAAGCTTTTCATCTATGTCTTAACAAGCCGAACCTGTCAAAATTATTCTTTTTTATGTTCCGTCTCCCTTTTGAACGTTGAGTATCACGGTATTCCACAAATCTCTACTCTTTTCTTTTTCTTTCTATAAACAATATATAGTATTTTAGATCTTGTTCTGTTATCAATTCACACGAGCTCTTTGGGTAAGTTATCGGTTTCCCTTTGCTCCTCTTGCCTTCAGCCTGTCCCGCGAATGTCAATTTCTCCAAACCCTCTTTCCTCATTATGTGTCGGAGTGATTTCAACTGTTTTTTTTTTTTTTAGTGATTTTAAGCGTCCCCATTTCCCATACTTCTGCATTGTTCACATATTCATCCATGGTATTCTCAGCATCCTTCAGTAGAACTACATTCCAGCTGCCTCAAGTCTCCGCTTCATCTGTGAGGAAACCGTTTAGCATTCACTGCCATATACAAAGATTATTATCATGATAGTTCTTTGATGTGGAATATTTTACAAGCATATATTTCTTTGCATTATTCTCTTTTTCTAATGATAACACATCGAACTTTAATAATATATGTTGATTAGCTGATTCAAGATTCATACCGACCTACCTGAATCCTAAGTTCATAACGAACAAAGTATTTGGGGTTTGTTTTTGCGTCTCCAACGAAAACGAAGTCATTTTTAGTGGCGTTACTTTTCGCGTGTTATT